ATTGAAGTGTGAAATGCCAAAAAGTTTTGTTCGCTGCTGAGGCTTGACAATATTAACTTGCACAAATAGGGTATTGGCCACAAAAGTTTGGGAACAACTGGAATCAATAATGAGACGAAACTCGTAAAAATAATCAATGTATTATTCTTCATGCACACATCTATTTCAATTCTGAAAATGGCATTCCATGAAAATATATGTGCGCGATATTTAAAAGAAATATTACTAGTTTTCGCAATATTTCTGCGAAATAATTTTCATTTTGTTCTTGATTTGTCATAGAAAAATTGTCTAAGTTAATTTCAGTGGATGTTGGTGATGAGACTTCTTCCTCTGCACTTGACTGCCATTTGACCGGCAAATGTTCTACGTACAATTCAGTGAAATTTGGTGAGGCCTCCTGCACATCAGTTAACCGCTCTCGGAACGGAAAATGTTCTAGGTTTGGTTCAGTAGATGTTGGTGTGACTTCCTCCACATCAGTTGACTGCCCTCCGAAAGATAAATTTTCCACGGTCGGTCCAGTGGAAGTGTGCGATGAGACTTTTTTCTCAGCACTTGATTGCCTACGGAACGGCAAATGTTCGAGTTCAGTAGTTGACGAGAGATTCGTCCCTTCAGGCACAATGTTTGTAAACGTTTCGAGTTCGTTGGTCATATCATCAAATGATTGCTGTGGAAACAAAGATTCATTTAAAACTTCGGCCGAGATCAATTCAGAATTGTTTACATCAAATCTTTCAGTCGTAAGCGTTGTGATCTCCTCGGGTGTGTTTTCCGATGAATGCAGAGGAAACGTAGATTCCCTTTCTATGGCATTTGAAAATGATACATCACTATTAAAGTCATTGACACTGGTAGCAGAATTCCCTTTGTATTCGTTCTCGGTGTCGATGCTGGGCTCAGTCGATTCGTTCAGCGGTTCAGATGGTTCAAGAGTTAGAAAAGATGGTTGAGAAAATGTCTCAGGTATGAAATACTGCGAATTTCGTTGGACTTCGGCAGATATTATTTCAAAATTAGAATTGTTTATTATTTTCTGGTCGAATAAAGTTACATCCTGTTGAACAATTTTACTGTCCAAATGTTCGTCGCGTGGTTCTGTTGGCCCGGGATTCGCTGCAAATGGATTATCGGATGAAACTATTGCCACCGAAATTTGATCTACGTTTGAGTGAAATTCTGTTGGTAAAGTAGAATTCTGTACTTGTGGAGAAGGCGTTGCAAAAATTATTTCGTTCGTGTAGTCGTCATTATATGAAGGTTTCATTTCAGCGCTGCCGTCAGCTTGGCTCTGTACATCTTCAATGACCGAATTACGTACGCCTTCCGCTGGGAAAATGTCATCCACCTGCATTTCATTTTGTGGATTGAATGAACCTGGGATAAACTTTTCATCGGTAATATGGAATGGGGTGAGTACCGTGACAGGATCATACTCTCCGTTTGGGGTCAAATACACAGTGTCGTCTCCACCAATGTTTGTGTTGGCAATTTCGTAGCGAAGATCCGCGCCGAAGTGTTCCGGTTCAGTTAATTGAGTTGAAGCATATCCGTCTGGCGTAACAAAATTTGGTATGTGTGAATTCGAGTCAAGAAGCCCATATGAAGGCAGGATGCTATAATCGTTGAAGGTCTCTGTGAAGGTGTTGAATGCCATGTCTGTGCCATCATGCTCGTTGAAGGCTTCTGTAAAGGTGTTGAAATCTTCGATGCCGGTGTCATCACGCGACTCGTTAACTTGGAAGGCACTCACGAAAAAAACTTCATGTGGGCCGACTTTCACATAAACGGGTTTATCAGCTAAGGAATTAGCCAGCAACGCAGCTAACGACCCTGATCCACTCACACTGGAAACGTACGGAACTTGGGCATAATGTTCTTCTGAAACAATTGTGTCATTGATGGCCATTGGTGTAAATTCTACAATAACATTTGACTGTCCAGGAAGGACGATTCTTCGATCTCCAATTTCTACTACCTCCCATTCCGGCAGATAAAGTTCTAACTCTGCTTCAGGTGGATATCCCGAGTGGGAAAATTCGTCTCGAAAATTATTGTTAATTTTTTTTCTTGAATTGTCTTCGGCAGTTCTCCCTTCTCTGAACTTTAGAGCATTTGGTTCATTTGAGGGATCGATTGATGCCAATTTAGGGTATTTGTAAATGTATTTGTTGGTTATTTTTGTAAGAGTATTTGGTGGCTTTATTTCCTGAGGCACAGAACCTCCCGAGAATATGCGTTCCCCTGAGGGGAGAAGTGGTTCAATTGCGTCACGTTTTATGTTTTCTCTTTCAAACTGTACTAAGTCGTAATCGGCAACTACTTCAGTGTTCAACTTCTTGGCTCGGGCACCTAAAAGTCGCCTGCTTAGTCCAGCCGGTTGCATTAAAGAAGTAGATTTGGCATCCATCTTGTCAGTAGAAATAATTGATTCGTCATTTCTTCTTAATGGCACACCCACAACTAATTGCAGAGATAAGAAAATAAACGCAATTTTACTAAACCTTCTGGAAACAATCATTTTGAACGTTTTTCAGTTTGACTGTTTCAATAAATCCTTAATAGCTCCATTCGCACTATTTGAGCACACTGAAGTTTCATGACTGTTGAGTATCATGCAGTTTGTCGCTGAAGCGAACCTTCAAGCTTTAGCATATCAAATCCACCAGTATTTCACTTAAATTGAAGCTGACTGATTTGAGACTTTTTTTGGATTAAAATATTCTAAGTATACTGAAAAAATTACGTCATTCGCAAAACTTAGTGGACATACGCTCTGTTCTACCACTTGCACGGAGCACGACGAGCTGCGGAATGAGCATGTGCAGAGAGCAGACCTCCTGAGGGGCGCAGCCTCGCGCTTCAGTGACGTTGAAAATGAAAACGAGTTTGTATACCAGAACTTCCGAAGACCCAAGAGACAATAAGCGTTTATCCCGCTTTCGAGTAGCGAAACTCCGATTGTGCGTTTTTGTACGCGCAACTTCTTCGGACTGTGGTGATCTCAGCAGCATTAATTAAGACGGCTGCTTCATATCTTTTTCATGTCCCAGAGACAATTATTTTGTCTGCGATTAGTCCAGGGTGAACCAAAATTAACTGACCCTCTTAATTGTTAATAAATAAAAAACTAAGAACGTTATGAAGTTGAAACTTGTTTTATTTAGAAGAAGAACATTTTTATGGTAATATTGTATTCTAGTTAAAATATTGTATCCTATTACAATATTTTATTATTGTATTAGTTAAAATATTTATTATGTATTAATAATATGTATTAGTTAAAATCAGAGCTGGGCAGCGCTACTTGGAAATGTAGCGGCGCTACCGCTACATAAAGACGCGTGCTGGTACCTTGAATGCAAATAATTGGCAATGGGAAAGCTTGGGCTACAATATCAAGACTTTTTGGGCATATTCTTCTGTTTTCAATGAATTTTACTTTATTTGGCTCCCCTGAACAATTTAAAAATACAAAAACGCCATCTTAAAAAAATTATAACTCCAACAGTTTTCAAGCTACGGCAATGAGAGACATAACATTCGGTTTGTAAAAACAATACCTAGCGACTCTAGAAACCTTTTTTTGTAATATGTGCATGGTTTGACTTATATATGGGAGGGGAGGAACGTGGGGGGTAAAAATGTGAAAAAATGGGAAGAACGCGAAAAAAAACGATGAGGAAAATCAAAAATCTGGGCTCTACAGTCGCTAGATATTGTTGTTACAAATCGAATGATATGCGACTCGACATTGTAGCATGTGATTTTCAAAAGGTATAAAATTTTTTAGAGTACCCCTTATATGCCGTTTTATATTAATTCCATATTTTCTTTCATTTTTTAAATTTACATGAACAAAAAGGTCTTAGATTTCTGTTTTACATAAGTGTACCAAGTTTCAAAACGATCCGTCTGTAAACAAAAAAGTTTTGTTGGAGGGTAGCCGGTCCCCATAAGTAAAATCTAAAGGCTTTATCTATGAATGTAGTGGTAGCGCTGTAGCGGCAAAACCTCGTATCGCTACTTAAATATGTAGCGGGCGCTACCGCTACCGCTACATTGCCTTAAATGTAGAGCCGCTACCGCTACCGCTACTGAAAATGTAGCGGCCGCTAGTAGCGGCCGCTACATGTAGCGCGCTACTGCCCACCTCTGGTTAAAATATTGTTTGTAATATTGTATCCTAGTTAGTTATTGTATCCTAAAAACTAGGATACAATATTATCTTAAAAATGTTCTTCTTTTAAATAAAATAAGTTTCAACTTCATAACGTTCTTAGTTTTTTATTTATTAACAAATTAGAAAGGTCAGTTAATTCTGGTGCACCCTGTATTTCAACGTCGTCGCTCTATACGGTGGTCGAAGACTCCTCAAGTTCAACGTACCGCAACGAATTGAGAAAGCGAGATAAAGTCGCGGCATTTAAATACATGATGAGTAATACTCACAACGTATTTACTTTGCTACTTATTCTATTTTACTATAACTTTGAGACTCATGAGACACTCCTAAACATCACCCCTATTCTTGACAATTGATCACAACTTATCAAATGGAAATTTTCTGGTGAGTGTGACCCACCCTTCAACTGGAATAAAAAATATTGGGGTGCAGTCTAATGAAGTTCACGCATACGTTACTGTGAAATAAACGCAGCGACTAGCCGTAGCAAGAAACTTTTATTAACTACACACTCGAGCCAACTCGGGAAGTGTAGTTCGTAGAAAAGAAGGCTTTATGGAATCGGAAAAAATTCTGGAACATTTTTCGATTTGCTGCGGCCCAAAATTATAAGTTCTAAATAGACGTTTCAAGATTCATTGCAAGGGAGCAGAGTTTATACAGAATATTAAACTAAGTGTACCATTAGCGCGTAGAAAATCATATTGGATATTTTTTAATAACATTCAAATTGATACGCATTTGAAATTCAAAATGAGGTGCTTCAGCAGACATTTGCGAACTAGAAAATTGGGAAGTGAAAAACATCGCGAATCAAATCCAGATTTCATTATGACGAAGAAATGAATTTCCAGTCATGAGGATAAAATGAAAAAGTACGCGACTCTCCAGCGAGCGCGCGGCATAAGAAAGTGCAAAAAGAAGAACATATACATTTATGTAATGTATGAATATGGAATAATATTAGCCGCGGAGAGCACGGCTACCAACTTCGTGGCACGCAACAGCACGAGCCCAAGAAGTTGTAACACAAGTAACTGGGATGCGTAAAACGGTCGTTCAACGACATTAAACTACGATTACTAAAACATTAGTAAAAAAACGGGATAAGAACAGGGCCGTGGATGAGTAAGGGTACGGAGAAAAAAAGCAGGACGAAAACAATAAACAAAGCTCCGGGAAAAATAAAATCAATAGAAATACTGACTAAATTCCTCTGATTAAAATTAATCCTAAGAAAAATTCATAACTCGTACGATTAAGTTAGCGGAAAGAAATACATAGGAAAGTACCTGCTGTTAATATCGGGTAACTTGTGCTTTAGACTTCTGAAGTCGGCAAGCGTGGCTAAAATGAGTTATTTTGATTTCATTATTGCAGCCACTGATTGCACGACGAAGCCCACGAGCGGAATACGCAACAGCAAATACAGAATATTAGTTTCGGGAACAACCGAGGCAGTCGTTGGAAAATTCAAGAAGGAAATAAACTCCCTATTCCTAAAAACGTAAATAGGTAATACACTAGAATGGGCATCATTATGAAATGATTAGAATGCCGCACAAAATTTAGATGCACAAAATCCAAATTTAGGATAATTTTTTCCAGTGAGCTAATCTACAGAATGAAGCAAGACCTTATTAATAAGGACAAGATGCTGCATCGTTTGATTATTCCTTTGATTAGTTCTGCATTGATGAAACTGTAAGGCAAATTCAGAGGACATACGTCCACTAGAGCGAGTCTGAATGGTCTAAACTGCTATATTTATTAACATCATTGGATAGACATGGGCATCGTATTACACCGGAACTTAGAGCATGAAGAATAAAATAATTATGCTAACATCAATATTTTATCATCGAATTGCAACATTAGGCTGAAAGCAGTGGAAAAAATTTTAGAATCAATGATAGTAGATATACAAAACTGTTAATAAGCAACAGAAATGATCGCTTTGGTGAGTTCAGTTTCCAGGCAAACTGTTGTTAAAGTAATAAACTATAAATAATATACAAATAGCTCTAACAGCGCGATCTTTAACTTAAGCTAAGGCCTGGTCTACGGTAATAGCCAAGCACAAATAGAGAGCATTTGTCAGGAAGGATCAAGAAGCTTGCGAGGGAAAACAATGAGAATGATAACGATACTTGCAACAAAATGATTCTCAGACGCAAGTTAATTTGAAATATACAAAAATATAACGATGTTGTTACAAGGCCAATGTAGATGTAACGCCTGAAAAAGCTAACAAACATAAGTCAAGTAGTGACTACTGCACTATCTTGCAGGATAAATTTTTAGCGGAAACTTGTAACATAGAAACATAAGAGAGAATTATTTGATGATATTAATTATAGACTCTGTTCGTTGAATTCATGAAATTCTACGGATCGTCCTGATTTTACTGAAGAATCAAAGGAAATTTTATAACAAGTAATTTAGTCTTTTTCTACAACAAATTGATGAAACATAGCAGGAAATTAACTGCCTTCATACGAACATATTCGCACTAAGGATCATGCCCAGACATCCAGTCAATGCTGAATGTATGTGGAAGGACCTTGGAAATGATCACATCGTCCCATGGTCGACCAAGAAAAGAATACCGTAGCAAGGCCAACATGAATCCTAAGCGTCATTAGAAACTGGAAAATCCTGAGGTACAACAAAAAGGAAACATACTTCCCGAAGCGTCATCGTGCAGCACACTTTATTACAACAGGCACACACTAAACAAATTGCAAAGTCAAGATGAACCCACACAGTCACACAGATCCCTGAAGAATATCATACTAGACTAAGAAACATGAGGTGCAGGTATACATGAGTTAGCCACGACAATACAAACAGAATAAGATGTCATGCGTTCAAAGGAACTAATGAGAAAAAAACCTTAGAAAATATTAGATTGAACAAATGAAAAATGAAACCGCTCTACGGAATAATAAGTTGAAAATCTCTTGAACGCATTTCTAAATAATTCTTTCGTTAATAGTGGATTCAACGATAAATCGTGACGAATGAATTAAGAATTTATTTTCAAAAACTAAACTATAATTGATCGAAAGATACAGCTATTCACAATTGTTTTAGGTATTTTGCTATTTGCTAAAAAAACAAGCTCTATGAGGATAAACTAATAACTGAAAAACTCTCGCGAACACAATGCTTGGGACACCACGCAGGTGCTCCAACACAAGCACAACACGCACAATAGTGCATGCACCAACACAAGCACAACACGCACAAGCACAATAGTGCACGCACAAGCACCAACACAAGCACTACAAGCGACATTGTGTGAACAAACACAAACACACACACACTGAAGCAGTATAAATCGTGGAACACAAAGCTACATGAGGAAATAAGTTTCATGTGATCAGAGTAGCAAGGTTGGGTTTGAGAGTAGAAAGGTGGGTAATACTTAATTACGTACAGAACATTCACGATACAGCAAATATAGACTGGAAGACGCGACCAACAAACAATAAAAAATAAGGCAGCAAAAGCTAATTACTCAGAAATGAGCGTTCTAATTCCTAATTATTATTATTCTCGTGTAATGATACTTCGCTTAACTTAACACATCTACTTCAGATCTGTCATTTATTGTAGCATTAGTCTCATCAACAAAGTCAGCCTCGGCTCGTAACAGTAGAGCTCAATCAAAATATCAATAAAGCATTAATCATAACATCGACGTAACAAATTCCGCTAATATCGCTAATTCTTCATCTATTTATCATGCCAAAATAACCACAAACATTATAAAATAAAACAAGTAAAGCATCGCTTAAGAAGATAGCGACAGAGCTCATTGAGCGACAGCATCGGAAAGACAAGAGATCGGAAATAAACATTTGTCATACGGGAATAAGCGCGCTTCAATAATGCAAACTCTATGCGAGCTGAACTCGGTTCAGCGTTGTTCACAGACTTTATCGTGAGCAGTAAAATAACGATATGAGAATCAAAAAATACTAATGACTTGAAGGCATTTCTAATGATGTTGGACACATAAACTCGGATTCTCGAGTTCTAGAATTGACATCTGTAAGACTGTAACTTTTCATAAGATGCAAAGAATTAGTTCTGAATGGAGTTTGTGCAAAAGACAGCGCGAAAGAGAGTGATGAATTAATTTCTATTTGATAACACTAAAAACATCAATACGTGACGTACAGGATGCATACAAATAAACTTGATCAACGAAACAACTCCACGTGCCATTCAAACGTAAACTAGGCAAGACGTAGGCGGCGACGTAAACTTAAATGTTAACTACTCGTGCATCACACTAATTGCAGTCGTGAATTATAAATTAGTATGACAAAAAATGCACGGAATTCATCATTAACACTCGACTGGCTGAAAATTCGAGTATTTAAAGCTGAGAAAACAGACTAATTGGTCGTGGCAGGCAGTCAAGAGCTAGAGGAATGGCAGCTGAATTACATCTCGTATTCTGACATGAAACTTATTCCTAAAATAACAAACAACAAAAAAAACGAATATTTAGTGTAACAATGAAAGCGTGACGAATTTATCATCAATTGTAATGAGTCTAGACATTAGTTTAATCGAATAAAAAAATATTACGACGCTTCAGTTGAATCTCCATCGCCTATAATATGACAATAAATGTGTATCGTTATCAAGCCATTACAGGTCGTCTCATCTTGAGCAGCCTTCTGCTCAAAAGAAGCACTAAAATTACGTGTCTTAGAATAGAGCATTTAGCAAATTCTTTCAATCTATTTGATAAAGAATCTTTTTAATTTCAGGACGAACCATCTCATTGCACATGCATATATTAACTTATTAGTAAGCTATTACAGTGTTTCCATTCCAAAGCACGCTGTAAAGAATGAGCCAATAGAAGTAAAATTATGAGGTTCTCTATTCTCATCATTGTATTTTGCGAAGAGTGTAGGAATGAGTGAAAAATATTCAATTGAACAATATTTCTGTCAGATAATAAAGATTGAACAACGTGAGAATAACGCTAAACGTGACAACACTTGAGTATAGAGTTCGCTGAAACAAGTCACATAAAAATGTTCGTTTCAAACTGTGAGGCAGTAGCTAAATGCATGAAAAATTTCGTACTTTCAAGTCATATATGTTGATATCACCAGATTATTTCAGTGTTTATTGTAGACAAGCTTGGATCTTTTCAATCCATTCTTGTGCCGCCGGTCCGTCGCTAGCGCAAAAGTTATAGACGCGCTTCTTGGTCTGCAGCTGGAAAGTGATTGAAGTCATTAACATAAGTATCAGTCGTTATGGGATTAATAAATAATTAATACATTATTAAAGTTACTATGATAATGAATGGAAAGTTATCACAAATTTTGCAGCTATACTGAGGAATTATTTTGAAATAATTAGTTAGAAAATATATTATCAATTCATATCCGAACTATGATAAATTACAACGAATATAATATCGACCCTAACAATAGACAAATCTCTTGTCAGTAACTTATAGTATTATAATAAATAATAAAAATAAAATTCAAAAATCGCATTGGGCTATTATTATTGATTATTCAGTAGACGTCAGATTTTGACCACAACAAAGGAAGAGAACTTACATCAAAGAAAGCTTTCTCGTCAATTTTTTTGGGAGCCCCTTGAGTCGGCAGCGCGGAACACACGGCGACGACTTCTGACATGTCTGCAACGAACATTACACGTGGTATAAAACAATAACGGGAGGTGATCAAACAACACATATAATTTAATAACAAATACGAAGAAATACAAAGACGGAAGCAGTTACAACAAATACTGAGAGCCAACACAGAATACGGACTGATCGATTCATCCCGTGAAACGGGGTGAATTGGACCATTTTTAGCGCTTACTTTTTGTGATACGAATAGTCACATAGTAAATATAAAAAATATATCTCTTGGTTGCATTTGTAGGTTATCTCATGGTACTTCAAGAGCCATCAACACAATTTCTCAAGGCAAAAACTTTTTGAGTTATGGAGTTCTTTTCTTCAATATCAAAACGGTCCAAGTCACCCCGTTTTAGGGTGCATCAAATATTCTATCAAAGCAATATGAAATGTCACCCAAACATGAATTATTTCCTACCGATGGTTCCTTTGGCTTGAGGATCGTCATGGGAGTCGTAGTAGCGAAGTTGATGCTTCATGCTGTCCAGGACAAACCATCGCTGCTTCCAGTTCTTGAGGAGAGATCCGCGTTTCCAGAGATAGCTTTCGTGTGTGCGGTTCTCGGGGACGTTAGACGAGTAGTCTTCGTAGGTTTGTTGCGAAGGCTTTTGAGACGCAACGCCTGCACACGTGTCACGTACATTTGTGTTACGTACACGGAAAAATAATTTTTTCTTACATAAGTAGATGTAATAGAACGAATCGTTACTTTAGAGCTGAAAAAAAACAACATATTGCGTTACACTATTGCTGATATAAAGGCGCACACAACACAAAAACTGCTCGTAAAGACAAAATGTTATTTGAGGACCTGAAGTAATGAAGGTAATGTTATGTAATTGCTGACATAAACGCGCAGATAACACAATAACTGCTCGGACAAAATATTATTGCGGACCTGAAAAATGAAGGTGATCTTATGCTATTGCTAACATAAAGGCGCAGATATCACAATAACGGCCTACATAACGTAGTATTATTAAGGACCTGAAGCAATGGAGGCGGTGTCCAGTTGAGGAGCGGGTGCAGGGGCGGCGGTGTGGTCGCGCCCTGCCTTGTATCGCGTGCAGGAGTTAGGCACGTTCTCGACGCATTTCTCGTGGCAGTTGTAACTGCAGTCCACGCATCGCAGGCCCGTCTACAAGCATAAAATAAATTATGGTCGAGTTAATCGAGTATGGCAATTAATGTATAGTACTATAAGTGATAAACGATGTACCATTAGTATTTGTCTGCAAGTCAGGTAACTCATGATCATTATCACAATTAAATTATATAATTATATATACCATTATTACAATTAATAATCATTACCACAATTGGATTATATGTAATTATGTCTCTATATACCGTAAGAATATGCAAGTTCATATTTGTTCACCTCGATTTAAACTCCTTATTCAATTAATAGTGCAGAGGAAATCTAGACGGAAAATTCCAAGAAAGACTCACCTTGATGGGGCCCCAGAGGACCGAGAAACAGTGGTCACAGTAGGCGGGCGTCGCGTAGTTGTACTTCTCAAAGCGATGTGGGTGCGTGTACCCTGCCACGTGACCAGCACCAGGGTCGTGGTGGTGGTGGTGAACTGACGCTACAGAGGCCGCGGCAGAGGAGGCTGGTGGGGTGGCTGTGCTGGTGAGCGCAGTGAGCGTCTTGGCGCGCACTAGTAACTCTAGAGTGCTGCGTTTGTGCACTGATCGTCCATGCTCACGAACAAGCTGAGTGGTCACCGATACTTGTCGCTGTGGACAACAAACATCGTTTATTCGTTCAACTACATCCAGTAGGCATCAGAGATCTCGTTTCTGAATTGTAAATAAATTCAATCAGAACAATGTAGGCCTACAATTATCAATAAAAAAAGTCATCAACAGGTTTAATTATTGGAAGATTATATGGCGAAACTTTCCGCCCATTCCAGACCGACAAATTTTTAAATCTTAGATAAATGCTTCAAAAGTATAATCACGTTATCTTCCCACACAAAACATGAGGGAAAGAGTTGACATACAGACCTGCAGCATGTCCTGCGGAGGGAGTTCTAGTTTATCCCAGTGTGCCGTCCACTTATGGGGCAGATGACCTAAGTCTTGTTCGAGCTGACGGAGCTCGTCCAGCTGTGCAGTGAACACGTCAGGCTGGCAGGCCATGAGACAATCATAGCCACGACTCATCACTCGGCGACACGAACTACGCCCGCCACTTGGACCTGCTCAAATTTCCAGTGTACAAACAGCGGCAAACGAGGGATTTTTAGAAACAGTTCGTTTTTAATTTTGTATCAAGTTAAAAAATGTATCTAATATCTACGTATATGATGATCTTGGTTTCCATTATACTTTACTTGTCTACTTAAGAGAGTGATAGGACTCGAAGAAGGAAGAGCCTAAAAAGCTAAAAAGTCTCTGGTTTGACACTTTATGACAAACAGATAGATCTGATTAGACCAATAACAGCTTATTTGGATACAAGAAGCTTTTCTTCCTCGTTCAAAGAATATAATAGTACGTACATCCAATTATTTAGGTAGCTACATGGATTAAAATGCGTGCTGCACAATTCAAACATGCACAATGCATGACAGCTGCTTTACCGTCAGCAGCGGCCTCTTCTTCCTCCCTCATATTGTCGCGTTGTCGAACTTCGTGGTCGTAGGGCGGGCCGTGCTTGAGCTCCTCGGCCAGCAGATATTCCCACACACACAGGGCACTCACAACCGTCACTGGCCGCAGTACCTGCCGAGTTACTTTCATTTGTAAAGAAATAGAAATATTCTCAAGTGGAGACAAAAAGTAAAAGTTAAGCTAAACTAGATTACATCAGAGATCGAAAAAGCAGATGGTTGGGATTTACTTGAACATTCTTTCAATAAGTTATTTCGAAAACCCACAAGGATAATTTTAGACAGAAGAATTTCGAGCCATCTTAGTTGAACCAACACAAACCCTGATTAATTGTCCTAGACTAATTGATTGATTGAATGGTTCAGTACCAAGTCTTTCTCATGTCATGCTTGCAAAATGGGGCGAGTTTGAGGACCACACACCTGACTGTCGGCGGCTCGATCAGGCGCGTACAGGAAGTTGAAGAAGACGGGCGATCGCGCCGCCAGTTTATCGATGTAGTCGAACACAGACTGTCCTAAATTGCTGCCGCTGCTGTTGCTTGGCGAACTTAGACGGCCGCCTTGGAAAACATTACAAGGTTTAGGAAACTTGATAAGGTGAGTCGGTAAATTTAAAACTTGAACTTAATCCCAAAAACACAAAAATATAACTCAGTACTCACTGCAGTGAGTGACAGAGAGCGCATTTTCTCGTCGACGAAAACTTGAGGTCACGGACAGACGGACGGACGGACATGGCGAGCACAATAGTGCATTTTTTCCATAAATAAAAAAATTCGCTAAAAAGTTAATCCCAATACACACAATTAATAACAGGCTTTTGCCCATACCAATCGATTTAATTACAATTGCCAAAGTTTATAAAAGGAAATTGCACAACGTGACAAAAATCCTGCTCATTCACCAATGCAAATGCTAAAACTACTACTTATTACATTACTCGGCTAGAAAAATAAAAGACAGAGAATAAACAATTATCCAACCTCCAGTGGGATAAATGTCGTCTTCGCTGGTGGCTTCGAGACCTTTGTGATGGCGGGAGAGCGAGCCACGCTTATCTTCCTCACTCATGATGCCGAGCTGAGCGCGCTCAAACTCGCAGTCCGACAAAAATGTGCGGAACCTGCCCGAGACGCTGTGGTATGCCAGGAACCGCAAGTAGTACTCGTTGAACTCGAATGATAGAGGAAACTGCCGCTGGATCTGATCAAACCAACAACAATTCATTAAAAAGCGTTCCATCTGAATACGAGAAAGAATTAATTTAATTATCCCATTAAATGCGCGCTAAAGTTGCGTCTCTCGAAATGTTTGCCACGAGAAAAGCTCACTCTCGTCGAAATGCAACATGGAAGGTATTGAAAATCGTAAAATATTTTGGTTTTTGATGTAATCGATCTTGAGATGAAGATCTAACCTGATGCACGGCATCAAGAAATTGCAAGAAGATCGGTGCGAAGCCAGAGTTCTGAGAGCTGTGTAGGACGTTGCTGCGATGCAGGAAACGATGTCCGTAGGCGAGCCACTCCTTCTCCACTAGAACACGGAAGCCTTCCAGCGTCCGGTAGTAAGGATCCAGGCAGATCTGAGCTAAACTCGAGACCTGACATAGAGACAAAAATTATGTTAATAGCTAAAAAGCCTCCATCAATAATCATGACACATTATGTCAACAAAAAAAGTATGACTAAAACACCTCCATCAATAATCATGACACATTATGTCTACAAAAAATTATGACTAAAACACCTCCATCAATAATCATGACACATTATGTCTACAAAAAAATTATAACTAAAACACCTCAATCAATAATCATGACACAAAAAGTTCACAAAGTTCATACACGAGGCCTGGTTCGCGTTGACATCAGTGAGCCACCAACCTGGGCCGTGAAGTCCCAGCCATCTTCGAGCAGCAGCATCACTGAGGCACCAAGGAGGTCCGTGAGATCAACCACGGCGCCTGAGCGCTGCAGCAGACACGACAGCTGTGACAACCACTCGCTGTTCTCCACCAGCCTGCATCACATTGCACATTTCGTCATTATAAATACACTTTCATTCATAGAAGAAACAGCATAAGATATTTTTGAGATTTAATGGAACTCAAGGCTGAAGTAAAACGTCCGAACTGAAGGGGAAAATATTTTCGTATTCAGTTTCAGTGCGTCAATGCATCACAGAGTCATAAGTTCTTTTGAAAAAGCACCAGTTTCAGGTTTAATGAAACAATACAAAATTGTCGAAAAATTATAAAAAAAAATATCGCTGACCTGAAGAAGGACTGCTCCTGATCAGCAGTGGACGTGGAAGGCATGCATGCCCTCATCAGTTTCTTGAACGCCGATTTCACTTGAAGAACATCTGGATAATCCACGATAATAAATTCGGTTTTGTGTACGGTGTCCGTTTTCAAACCCTGGAAGATTACATAGGCATTTTCAAACTTAATTTGATCGCAAAAATTTGGGGACGATTGAAGCAAAAAATAATCAATTGAATAGTGTTTCAGCCACAAACCTAAATGAATACGATTCGTTAAACGATATAATAGATTCTTTGTACAAGAAAATCACCTTCAAATGAGTTTTCTCCCCGAAGATGTAGAGTGCAGCCGTGTTGAACGCTCGCACGACCTCCATGTTGGGATCAGCCCCCAAATCTGTCGCCGAGCCCTCGACGAGGACGGAGGAAGAGAGCCTGGAGCCTGCACCTCCCCCAGCAACACTGGCGCTTTGGTCGTGACTGTGAGCAGTGGGTAGAGATATACAGGGCGCCCCTGCAGGATCATGCAGCAGGAAAGGAGATACAGGAGAGACAGCGGCTTGAGGGGACGTGGGGCGCAACGTGTTAGTATAGGCGCTGCTGACACTGTCCCACCAATCTAGTAGACTGTCCCGGGTACTCGTGGTGGGGGCAGACGGACGTCTAATGGACCCGAAGCGAGAGAAGGTACCAAAGCTACTCCCTGGACTCCTGCTGGCAGTTCAAGTGCAGCCGCATGCGTCGTCGTGACGTCGTAGATTTGTCGGATGAACGTTGCAATAAACAACGCAACCGATGCGCAGGTAGCAGTGTCGAGACCAGTTAGCGGCACACACGTCACCGCGATAGAAACGATACAGACGAGCATGCCACAGAAGGTGAGCCCATGTGGATGAGTGTGTGGTAACGGAAGGGATGAAGCCAGGCGGTAAATTGTAAAACGCAATCATCTTGGCAGGTTAAGCGGCATCAACATACACGAGTGGACGGACCAAAGGGCAAACTCAACAAGAACATTGTTAGGTTTAGAGTCAGGCATAAGCAGAATAAAGTAGCAGCCAGTTTAACGTATATTAATAACACATAATATTGTTAATGCGTTTAGATATTACATTAAAAAATATGAAGCATTTGTGATCATATGTGTAATAACATTATTAATTAGAATACAGTTAATCTCAAGAGGTTAACATGATGCGAGTATTAATTGGTGAGTGCCCGAGTTCACAAGAAGGCACGGGTTAAGAAACTCGAATAAAACCGAGTTACAAATGTTTGCAAATAAACGCACACAAACCAGAAAAAATGCATGTGTAAAATGTAAGGAAAACTGAAACAGTGAAGCACTCAAGGTTGTTAAACATGGACACTTTATTAAAACAGAGGAACTGAATTAAAGCAGATGGGACAACATCAAATGCGGAAAAGAGGCACGAGTTAACAAAGAATTAGTTAAAAACAAAGTGTAAAATTGCGCAGCGTTATAATAGTTAAGTGAGGTAGCCACAGTTTAGAAGAGAAATAAACGCACACAAAACCAAAACAGAACTTCAAGTGCCGGACAAACGTGGACAGCGACGTCGTGTGCGTAGTGTGCGGGAGTCAAGAGAAGAAAACAAAGAACCATCAATAAAACAATAATAATGTACATAGATTACACCCAATATAACATCCAAAGTTCACATACCAAGAACTATACAATAACAAAGATTTATAGTAAACACCCAATATAACATCCAAAGCCCAAGTAGAAAGAGCTGTACAATAATAAAGATTTACAGTTAACACAAAGCCTAATTAGCAAGAACTGCATAATAATCAAGACTTAATCACTTCAAACTTTTTTCTAACTTATAATTTCTACAGGCCCGCCATATGAAATTTGCATAAATAAGAAATGAAAGGTGAAAATGTCGTGTTGAAAATTGATAATTTTGATTGCAAGTGACACGGTGACCTTAGAAATATATGTACTTCCTCATAATACACAAGGTTGATCATAGTAATTACAATAAATTCATCGACCAGAAAAAAATTGAGACTTAGGAGTTAGATAAGCTGCAATATATCAGTCTTGACACATGGGGAGATGAATTAAGGTTATGATGAATCAGATCACGATGAATTAGATCACAATGAATCAGGTCACGACGAATCAAGATCATTCATGAGTTAGCTAGCATTACCTACATTACCTAGTACAACTACAATCCCTCTATCAGTTTAGTGACGGGGCAGGCCATTGCGGAATAGTCGCTAATTCCAACATGCAAAGTTTAATTGAATTTTCAGATTTAAACATATTTTATACCTCGAAGAAATATCCCAAAAAATATATGAAACTATTTAATGAAACAAAATAAACTTTTGTGAATATGGTGAATTAATTCAAATGAAATATTTAAACTACTCGTATTGCATCCAGAAGCACCCAGTCAGGCATTGTCAGTTTCTACATATACAAACAAAACAAAACAAAAGCTTGCATATTTTCATTTCAGTAACAAAATCAGCGGTTAACGTGCAAAAGATCCATAGTGAGGTTTTTTATTAACATTACTCACCTAAAGATACAATGAATTTCAAATAACTTGTCAAATTATTATTATTTATTCTAGAAATTGTCCTCAACTCTAGCACAAAGACAACACTTATGACGAGACATGCAGACGGGAGCAGCAACGACAAGCAACATGCATTTATACATATTATTCCCTATACATTATGTTATCTCTCTAATTTTAGACATATTGAAGAACGCTATGCTTAAAATGCTGTTAGAAAGACGTGCGAGACAAAACAGTGGGCTGAGAGAAACCTTGAGGCCAGAAGCCTGTCAACTGATGAAATTATGATTACAAAGCTTGAGATAATCGCTATATTTGAAATATAATAGCAGACAAATTCAACAGCAATTTTAACATTTTTCCCGCGGATCAGAGACAGTCATTGCGATCATACACTGTTAGAAAAATTCCCGTCAACGGTATTACCGGCGTTTCAGTGGCCGGTCGGCACGTGAAAAGAAACACCGTGTCGCCGTTTTTATTCTAATTTAACACTAGAAATCCGTAAAAGATCTGATAAAAACGGCGAAACAGTTTTTTTCACGGGGCGACCGGCCACTAGAATGCCAGTGGGACCGTTTTTTCACCGTTTTTTCTAACAGTGTATTGCCCAGTTTAGAGCGAAGAATGAAGATAGTACATTTACATAGTAATGGATTTGTATGGCAGGTAAATATACATAAAATAAATCTTCATCAAACCATCCAGGTTTAATAATAAAGTTAAATATTCTGCACATAAGTTTACAAATTTACTTTGCTGTTCAGAAATTTTCAGAAAAATAATGGATTACCATGAAAAACCAACGTGATTCAAAGAAAAATATCCTATCAGTAGTTGTTTTCGAATTTCGGCAGTTAACTGCTATGTTCAAACTAAAAGCACGCATCTAAATATTCCAGACTATCAACATGCAATAGCCTTCAGTCACACAATAATTCAAAGAGAAGTTCTATAGAAGAAATGCCAAAAGATTATGTAATAATGTGATGTGGCGTTACCAACGGAGTTGACGCGATTTAATTTCATGAATATCACACACAAACAAACTAAACTTGGAAAAAATTAGAAGTTAATTAAGAAAAAACTAATTAAAATACCTATTAATTTTAACAGATTAGACAAAAGATTAGACATACCTATATAGTAACAGATTAAATTAGACATATATAGTAAAAAAATATCTATATATATTTTTATCAGAAACGATTAGACATATAATAGGTAACAGATTAGACAAAAGATGTTAGCAAATGCTGTCTATTAATAAAGTTGAAATGACGAAAGCAGGCAATAACGAACCTGAGTGAGTTGATAGCTTTAGTGAGAGGGTTTGTTCTTCTGTTGATATCGGGCGTGAGAGTCCCGTAGTCTTTCGGCGTGGTGCTGGCAATGTACCCCGAGCCGTAAGGGGTGCCCCCGTACGAGGAGTTGTTGTAGGTGGTGTTAGCGGTGGAGCCGTTGTAGCTGGAGGTGTCGAGACCTCCTGTGGCCGAGGTCGTGGAGTAGCTGGAGCGGGTGGGGGAGTGCAGCCCTCCGCTGTAGTGGGGGTACGGCTCTGCCCCAACCGTCTGCACACGGTAATACTGGCGCTGCAGTATGAAAATTTTTTAATTGGACTTAAATTACGGGTGATTTTTAGGGATTCATTTGCAAATTAAAAGCCGAACGCAAACTGATTCAGGCACGATAAATTGAAAAGTTTTTATACTGCTTCGAAGTCCTAAACTCATCATAAGGTCACTTGATTTTTGTGGATTTATTGATAAATAAAAGCCTAACGCATGCAACAGTGGAATGGAATTAAGAAATGAGCCCCAGAGAATTTGAATAAAAACTACAAATTATAAGCGTAATGAAGTCAGTAAGGGAGCGAAACTCAGAAATTAAACTGAAAAAAAATGAATAGAAAAAATGATGAAACTGAATAAAATGAGTAAAAAATAGCAATAAATACGGTGCTAAAAGTCAATTTTTCAGAGCTGAAGTCTCAGATTTGGATTGCCGATTACGCCGTAAAATTCGGGTTTAATTCTCCCTATTTTTTTATTATTATTACCACGTTTTTCTTAGCTCGCTTTCGTGTCTGTGATGATCAAATCTTGCAATCGAACTTTCCCATTAGCTAGCGCTCTGAAACTTTTAGGGAAGCTCAGCTCCCGATGACAATACAATAATCAATAATTTGTTGCATGTTTCCAGGCGGATTTATGACTATTATAAACAAATTAATTTTCGAAGTGGAAATTTGTTTTCCTGTATCCCCTCGAATACAATTTTCTACAGAACTTCGAAAAGAATTTTCTTTCGTGCATTTGCGTGGCCAACTGAAATAAAATGAATATTATGTAGGATGGCTGACCTTAAATTGGCTCGCAACAACGTTTTTCATGTGTGGCAACGGACTAAAAAGGAGAAAAAAAAATACTTAAAAAAAAAAACTTTTTAAAAAACCACGTTTTTCTTGTGGACTAAAAAGTAGAAAATAAATTATGGCTCGCCCCAAAAAACGTGGGTCGGGCATACGTTCACCATCAAATTTCCAAAATTCGTGTGTTGTGTGCTTTTCGCTTTAATCATAAATCTGCCCGACACACGTTTTTTGGGGCGAGTCATAATTTATTTTCTACTTTTTAGTCCACAAGAAAAACATGGTTCTTTAAAGTTTTTTTTTAAGTATTTTATTCTCCTCTCACCTCGTAATATTTGCAAGGAGATCGTCGGTTATCAGGCGGTTGACGAATAACCAGCGGTCTGCCGGTGATAATTAATATATGTTGGCGGACCGCTGGCTATCCCGCACCACTTACGCTTAAGAAAAACGTGGGAGCCCCTTGACAACGATAGCTGAGTAATATATACGACCTTGTCGTTCTCCCATACATCAACGATAGTTGTATGCTTTCCTATAAAAATCCATGAGGCTGGACTCCCCGTTTCGGATTGTTAATCTTTCTGAATTATCTACAATAGTAATCTTCCCGACAAGAAGGCGGATTGTTTACAGACCTTATAACCCAATACACCGAAGAGAATTGTCCTGTCCGATTGTTGTTCGACAGACTTCATATATTTTTAGTTAAAGTACAAGAATTGGTAGTTGCATAAGCCAGAAAATAATGTTTTTCTTCGTTGACGAGTCAAAATACACCAACCAACTTGCACATAAGGCTATCAGCGAGAAGTGATGCGAGCCATAACACATCAAGTCTGAGCTCCTACCTTGCCGTATATGGCGTCAGCAGCCCCGCCGTGTGCTGCGAGGGACATCATGTGAGGGGAGAGGTGTGTGGCCGCGAGGCTGTTGAGGGAGAGGGAGCTGTCAGCGAGGCGCCACGCTGAGGCGTGCCTCACCGCAGCAAGAGGCGTTGAGGCCACAATCGCTGACAGGAACTTCTCGTGCTCGACGCTGTGCGAGGAGCCGTCGGTGCTTGTACCTCCGACACCAGAGTTGGCGCCACCGATACCTTAAAAACGTTACAAAGATTTGTTTATTTCGAACTTTCGGATTAGCGGTAATGATTTGCGAGAAATTGTCAGAGGAATGCATGATTACAGATACAAGATTGACATGATTAATGAATCATGTTTACACCAACAAAACAAATTCATGATAAAGTCGATGCCACGAACCATCTACGTGCATCAATCTCTTAAAATGATATTAGCTGGCATAATTTATTTTTTTTTTTGTACAAGTTCACTTAATGAAGAAATGCATTAAATTAAAATTTTCTATTTCATTTTTTTAATTGTACTAATCTAATGCCTTCTCTGGTCATTAATCGAACGTGTCTAATATAAATTAAGTTACCAGGAGGGAGGGGCTGGGTGCCAGCGCCGCCCCTATTGAGCTTGGTGAGCGCAGTGCGGCTGTGCACGCCAGCGCCACGCAGGATGAGGGCCCGGGTGCTGGGGTGACGCCAGGTCGCCACAGGGAAGCGTCCGCTGCGGTACAGTCGACCCACCCGCGCGATGCACTCATCCGTGAGCACCGCCGGCACGCTCACCAGGGCTGGATAGCTGTGATCCCAATATTAAATAAGTATCAGGGGGCTGGATAGCTGTGGTGGCAATATTAAAAAGTATCAGGGGGCTGGATAGCTGTGGTCCCAATAATAAATAAGTATCAGGGGGCTGGATAGCTGTGGTCCCANTTCTGTCTCTTATACACATCTAGATGTGTATAAGAGACAGGGATAGCTGTGGTCCCAATATTAAATAAGTATCAGGGGGCCGGATAGCTGTGGTCCCAATATTAAATAAGTATCAGGGGGCCGGATAGCTGTGGTCCCAATATTAAATAAGTATCGGGATTAAACAACAAAATCTCCTTAATCTAACTACAGTCACATGAGTCGCCGCTCAGAAGGTACTGCACTAAACTCGTAGCTCGACAAAAAAAAAGACGCCGTATATATGTGGTCGGAACTACGCTTAGCAAGAATGAATTCCAAAATAAATAATTGAATAGATCGTCACTGAAACGCACGGTATTGATTTTGGTTTTTGTATAAATTGATAGGTTGTTTCAATTATTATTTGTGTTCATTTATTCAGTTTTATTCATCCTTGTTTTAATGGCGATAATTTTTACCACACGGTCATACGTAAATGTCTAGGACCATTACTTTCATATTATTTATTTATCGAATGGGCCCCGACATATATGAGAGGTGTGATTGTTGTAAGTTTCGTTTTAATATTCTAATATTTTAATAAAATAATTAGTAACTGTTAATAAAAACATAAAGGCCGACGATATAAGTGTTTTGTCGATTTAAGTAGTATTGAGGTTAGTGAGCCTGACCTATCTCATTACTATCGCTTCAATTTTGAATAAGATCCGCTGAGCACCAACCTCCTGCATAACTGGTAGCCAGAATTGACGGCAGTAATTCTGAAGTCAGTTTTCTTGGACGCGAGCGCCGCGGCCGAACAAGCGGGGGGAGACTGCGAGCTGCCCACACCCATTATAGGGAGAGATCCTCCCAGACCAACTCGCTGATAATCTCTGTGAAGAGAAGGCATTAAATTACGATTACAACTACAATACATTAAATTGAATTACAATGCATTAAATTAGAAAGCAATAAATTAAATTATAATGCATTAAATTACCAGTCACGTGCAACTCGTGAGTCAACAAGTTCAAACGTTAACTTATTTCTGATGTATTCAGTTGCTGCAGATAATTCTTGTTGCTAATTAAAATTAGATCATCCAATTTGTTACAAAGAACAGAAACGAAGTTCGGTATGGTTGTCAGATGTCACCTATAGTAGCTTCGCTCGGTGAGTTTCTCAAGTGTTTTGTTGTCAACCTCAGCGGTGGCGCTTCCTCTAACGCTGCCAGTGTCGCCTTCCATGCCACCTGCAACATCATGGGGGAGAATCAAGCAAGGAACTGGCGTAATATAATATTTATACTTGAATTTTCAAATAAAATGTAAGTAGAAATTAAATAGACCCGATCGAATACGGGTAAGTGTATTAAATTGTGAGATTAACAACTATTACTCAAATTAGAGAAGAAATATTTTAGGAAATTAAGGCATAATAAATGGGAATACAACTGACCACTTGACTCTTCAAGCTGCCTGAGTTCTTCAGCACTGCGGTCAATGGGTCGCTGCTGGGGCAGTGTCATGGTGACGCGTGACGCCGACGAGTGCAGTACAGACGAGCCGCTGGGGAAGATATTTTTACCAACCCCACCAGGGGTTCCCACTCCCCCAGCACCACCACCAGGGATCCCCAGCGTCAAGCCGCTGGTCTGGGATGAGCCTAGGAACGTCCTCCGCTCCACCGCGGCGCTTGGGAACACGTATTTCTCTTGCTTGCGGCCCTTGCCTGACTTGAGGCCGGTCACGCGAGCAGTCTTCATCAGCGTCTTCTTAGCGAAACCCCTGCTCAAAAATTACAAAGTCAATTATTCCAATCAAATTAGCCAGAAATAGTGTTTTAAACATGTCAAAATATTCAACCATATGTGATCAAATTCACAAATTGTGTTTCAAACGTGACAAAATATTCAACCATATGTGATTCAGTTCAATCCCAGGAAATTGGCAACACAATGATTACTATAATCAATAAGGAAGTGGCCTACACGAAAAATTTACAAACATTCTGCAATTGGATGGAAAATATTCTTCCAAGATTCAAAAAATTTCGTAAATTTCTAAAATTATTTTGAAAAAGCTGAAGCAATTTATCAATTGCTAATATTTAATTTCACGTTTATAAAGTTCAAAAGCTTTCATTGACCTGAGAGTTCCATAGCCAGGCTTGTCTTTCTCGCGTCTGCTGACAGGGAAAATAACTTGGCTGTACCCAGCAAAGGCAAAGACCTGAAGGACAGATGACGGATGCCGCAATCGACTCAACAACTTGCGGAAAGATTCGATGGCTTCAGGAGACACCTCTTCATCAAATGCAACGCGCAGCAGCTGACCAAGAAAAAAGAGAATTTTATTAATAACTTTTCTAATTTGCATCACTCTAAAATTCCAATGCTTAGGTAACGTTCAAAGTAACTAAAACACATTTACAAACAACAAAAGGTTCAAGAACGCTAGATACAGCAACATTTAAACAAATATGAAATTGTTACCTGCATGCCACAACGAATTTATACAAGTACGAATTTATAAAAAAAAAATGAATTTGTGCATGTAGGGTATAAATACAGAAGTCATCATCAATTTGCTGGTAATCAGAAGGCACCTGGCAGGTAGCAGATCGTATCTGCAGTCCATCAGACGCCCACTGGTCCATGAGGCCGTGGTGCTGGCCGCCCGACACGCGCTTCTCCCGAGTAATGGACGTCAGGGGCAGGGCTCGCACGATCACTTGCTCACAGGCTGAACACATTTAAATTCGTAAAAAAAATATTGTCAGCTTGAAATTTATAAATGCTGAAAACAATTGGATCAGTTCAGTTAGCAACTCGTGAGACGATCTTATCGTTAATAAAACGTAATTGCATTGGCGCCAACATATTTGACAGCAGCAAGTTATTAAACTTTCTTTTTTTTTGAAAATAGATTAACAATATCAGACCATTATCATTTTAGAGGCATAAGAAGGACAACAATGACGTTTAAAAGGTGGTTGGAAAATTTTGAATGTCACGGAATCAGAAGATAACACGGTTAATAGAACAGCGTTTTAATTAATTTTTCCTACTGGAAAAGCTCGATAATTATTGATAATGGGAAATCATAATTGATAAAAATGAATACATTATACTTTATTCAAAATAAATTAAATAAAAAATTAGATGGAAAGTGAATAATATTATTATAACTATGAAATAAAGTCATTTACCATCATGTTACACAGTTACAACATTACATTGATCTATTTTTCGAATGAATACATATTTTGTTGTAAAAATCCACATATGAAGGTAAAATCACGGTCAAATCATAAAGAAAAAAATACTTTCATGAACAAAAAGACATCTCGTCATAAAATTAGGAATTTTCAGACAAGACTCACCACAAGGATCAGAGGGAAGTCCTTTGAAGATGAGCCTGTAGTTGGTGAGGAAAAGTGCGCCTTCAGCCGGCAGCAAGATAGGGCCGCTCTTGGCGCCCACGGCGTCCTCCCTGCCATCGGGCAAAAGATGCACGCGAAGTCCCTCTAGTTCCATCTTCTCTCCAGGGATGAGTGAAGGCAGCATAATCTTGTGCTTCTGCGTGGGCGGTAGGCGCCGACTCTCCTTATGAACCATGTCCAGAGTCTCGATGTGCATTGCTACAACGCCAGGAATCATTTGGTGAAGGGACTTGATGTGTTCGTCTGTAACTTTGCCCTCAGTGCAGACTTTATCGACAAACCGAGACGCAAAACGTATGACGCTGGCTTCTCGGTCGCTCTGTTCCTGCTCTTCAAAGCCTGATTCGCCATCCATGCTGTCACTCTCAGCAACACTGTTTGTGAAGCTAGCACTTGAGTTTTCAGGTAAAGGGCGACGAGGAATTAATGAATTTATTTCTAGAGGAATGCGAAGGTAAACTATACGGTACACGAAATGGATGGCTTGAGAATACAGAGTAGATTCTTCCTGTTCATTCAATTCTTTCTGTTTTGCACTTGGTAGAGTTGGCCAAATTCGTAGTCTGTTGGCAGCAATGTCGAGAGCTCTTATCTGCTCAGCAGGCAAGTAAGACATTCTTTTGTCTTTGAGTCCCTGGAAGTCAACTCCATCATTTACTGCGTCAGTTGTGTAGAGGGTATTATAATGGTGGCCATTTTGGTCGTGAATTTTCTCCAAATAAAGCGACTTGATATCATTCTGCACATCTTCATAGAAGGCAGCCTCCCAAAACTGATGATTGGACCACACGGGGTGATCTTGGATACAGGTGAAGGCAAACTGCATGACTCCAGTGCAGAGTTTACGACAGAAGGCAGATGACAGAGGCAAGAGTGCAGCAGCAACGCCATGTTCATCCATTTGAGACGTGTCCTGCAAGGCACAGTTCATGAGACGCACCACAAGATCAAATTGTTCATGCTCTAGCACAGCTTTGTTGCGCTGCACGTGCAAAGCCAACTCAGAGCACAAGGCTAGGCGTGCAGCTTTACTTTTAAGAGCTCGTAGCACGGCGGGGAAAGTCTTGCGGGCGTCACTGATTTTGCTCTCGAAGATGCAAGTCACGCAATCGCGCAGCACCTTCAGGCGCTGAGCAGAGCTTCCTCCAATTCCAGGGCTTTGTAACGTCGAAATATGACAGCCCATAGGGACGGTTTGTGGTTGCTCTTTAATTTTGGGTATTTTGACTTCTTTTGAAGTTCCTTCGTCAATGATAGCTTGAATTTTTGTGGCGTCTAAGGTTGGGAAGATGGGCTGATGGATTCTTGTGAAGGAACCTTCTGTTGGCTTCGGTATTTTAGCTTCAAACTGCGGGTTTGGATTCTCGTTGTTGTAAAGCTGTTGCCCGAGCTCCTTGATATGGACCAGCACAAGCCTGGGGTCATTGTGTTCAAGTCTCTGCTGTTCGGGAGTCAAGGAGTAGAGCTCGTCCCACAAGTCACACACTCGCCAAGGAAGTCCTCGTTCACTCACAAACTCAGTGAAAAACATGCAGTCCAAGAGCTTAGACACAAACTCAAAATCCTGGAAGCCTCGGTGTCCGAGGAACGCTGCTTTGTGGAAGGTTATCACGGGACTCGCATGGATCCTAATGAGGGTGAGGCACGAACGGTAACCTTGCAGTAACCTGGCAAAGAGTCGCATGAAGACGGCTCTGAGTTGCTTATCTTTGAGCACATGAGGCGTGGCCAAGGGCAAGGAGCTTGTGGAGAAAGCGTTGTCGGCTGTAAGGAGGTCGGGATGTAGCACTGCCGAGAGAGCATTGTGAGCTTCACTGAAGTAAGGCTCAATGAGCGGCGACAAGGCAAGTGAATCAGGCACTCGAATGGAACCTCCATCCAAGTCCACCACAATAACGTCCATTAGCTGCGAAACTTCCTCCTTGAGGGATGAGTGAACCCCCATGATGAAGGGGGTGGGGGTGGACAGCACCTCGACCAGCGGGGACGGCAAGATGGGGATGTAGACATGGCTGTACTGGAATGGGTACAGCAGCGCTTTAAGAGCGTGGCAGGAGTCAGTGAGGCGAGTGTATGACATGCTGTGGAAAAGGAGCTTGTTCTCTGTCACAGCTGCACAGAACAGCACCAGCACATTGCGGATACCTGTAATAATATTGAAGAGTAACACTTAAGTTCCATGAATTTAAATGCCTGACCGGCAAACTTTTGTTGCAATATATCTGATTTAAAAAAACTATAGCAGATAATATATTGATCAATCATCTAATGTACTGATGAAGTATGACACACCAAAAATTCCAGAGAGATAACTGTCAGAAATCGATTATTCTTAACTAAAATCATAAACGATCAAAATTTAACATATATTGATTTAAAGTAAGAGTCTGAAAAAGGAAAAGTTGAGCTGACTAACTGGAAAATAAATATAACAATAACACTAAGGGGTTTCTAGGATATTGTCTCACCGAGCTGAGAAAAAAGCCCCAAGACCGTTGTGTGGGTCACGGGCAGAGAGGGGGATGCGGGAGGTTGAAGAGCCTGTCGGTCGCCAGCGCCAATACTGAAGCGCACCTACAAACACAATATGTTTCAGACTGAACACTTGAGCGTTATTTGCTTGAGAACCAATTAAAGATGCATTATCATTAGGCTATTAGTTTAGGGTTGAAATTGTTAAAACTTAGTATTAGATTAACCAATTGCAATCACAAAACGAAAACTACAAACTCAGCAAACCAAAGAAGGACACATTTCCCAGATTAAAGTTTAGCACCCATGCATCTTTCATTGCGCGATACCTATGCATCACCATAACACTACAATTATACGGCTTATTACGTCCTAATATTTCTTGCGAGGTAGTATCTTTAACTCCGATATCTGAGCTGTATCAGGATCAGGGCAAGTGAAAAATGTGGAGATTAGCTCCTCTGTAGAATGACACCTTTCCCATACATTAATTTCAATATTTTTTGGAAGAAATGTTTGTATGATAGGAGATCAATAATTTATTCTCAAATTTGTTGGACGTGGAATCTTTGTGTTTGGGTTAAGAAGTTTGAAGAATTGACAGCAAGCTGCTCTATTGTGCAACCGCTCGACAAAAAGTTGAGCCCTTGCCCAAAGAGTCAACAGCAAGCTGCCCCATTGGCTGAAGACTAACCAAGCTGCCCTAGTGCCCGAACACCAAAAAAAAAAGCTGCCTTGGTGGACGAAGACTAAACTAGTTTCCTATTGGTTGAAAACAAAACTAGTTTCCTATTGGCCAAAAATTAAACTAGTTTCCTATTGGCCGAAAACTAAACATCAAGCTGCCCTAGTGGCCGAAGCCCACCCAATAAGTTCCTTTAATGGCCAAAGCCAGCAGCTCACCTGCGGTCCACCAGGAGGAGGCACCTGCACATAGCCAACCATGTTGCCCACGAGCGTCTCCAAGCTGACGTTGAGGCCCTCGCTGTGCACGGTGTACACCAGACCAAGGCAATTCTGCAGTTAAAGACAACATTTTAAAGTCTCAGTTTCATTAATTCCGAAACTAGGAACAAACTGAAAGCAAGTACAGCAACAGGATGTGTACCAGTCATGGAAAACCTGGAAAGCCGTATACGAGTCTGGAAAATTTTGAGTCATATACGAGTGACTCGTATATGACTCGCAATTTTCCAGACTCATATACAACTCTTAATTTTCCAGGCTCGTATACGACTTTCCAGGTTTTCCATGACCAGCATGCACCCTGCAGTAATTACCTGAAGAATATATACAGTTGAAACATTCACATCACATCAAATTATGTATCTTATCACTATCTTAACCTTAAATTCTTAAGGTTAAGTTTTTATCTCTTAAGATCATAAGGTGAAGAATAAAGCATCTTGAACCATAAATTTAGATTCAGTTTTCATGTAAGTAGTACCTTTCTTACCAAAACTGGTGCTCATAATGACCTGCCAAATTCCGGTTTACTTAGTAGGCACTGCTATGCTATTTTAATTTAATCACTAATTATGTTAATCAACTGCATATAAAATCAGTCCTTACCACAAACTACAATTGACAGATGTGTATTCAAGAATACGTAGTTGCTGCAAAACTAAAAATTATGCATCTTCTGCATTGTTGTCATCACAGCAAGTAATGTATTTATAGCCAGAATACCACAGTATACTGCAGATAGATGGTTTCACTTCATACTTATTAGTATATTTAATTTTACAAAAAAATTTGAGTTTTACCATGGTGATATGATACAAGAAATTCATGAGTTATAATTTACTGCATGAAATTGATTAGTGCCCAATGAAGAACTAATTAAAATAGACCAGACAAAAATTTAATCAAACGCCCTGAACCTACCACTGTGTGGTATACAAGTTTATGCATAAAATGGAAAAGTTAAAGGAAAGTCTGACCCTGAATGTTGCAAAGCAGTCAAGTGTGGAGACAAGCACAAGGCACTTGGGAGCATACATGATGGAGTGGTGAGCACCAGCCACCACCACAGCATTTCCTCCACTGTTGGTGACACCTCCATTGCTGATACAAAGCTCTAGCCCACCTTCTTCTTCCTGAAGTAAAATTTTAAAGAGATAATGACAAAAAATCAATAGGCACTTAAGAAAAATACATGCATAATTTGATTTAACATGAACAGAATGAAGCATCAAGTAACAGAGTATATAAGCTTTCTAAGAATAATCTCATAAAATAAATCAAGCTTAAATGCAAGCAGATATCATTCACAAGAACATTAAAGATTGTTATCTTGTGGACAGAAACTACTAGATTGGAATTACAAGGCACACTATACAGTATACATGATGGTCACACCTCATCAGCATGAGCATGTGTCTGAGTGATGGCATAAGGTTCATAGAAGCTGAAGATGGCGCAGTAGTGACGAGAGGCATTGAAGTCTGTCAGGACGCACACAAAGAACTGTGGGTCCTGGTGGTTGCATGACAACGCCCAGCCTTGGGGCTGGCAGAACTGAAGAAGACACATCAATGATAAATTCGAGTAGACCCGTGAATCCTGGTTATTATTTGCACAGCATATTGTGATAAAAAAAATTCGTGAGCTACTCTGAATCAGCATACACGAGTGAGTTAATATAGGTGTATGGATGAATATGACAGTTGTTTTGTATAAAGTTCAATATTGGATTATGTCACTGTTCAATCATTTTGGATGCCATGAATCTCATAAAATAATATTGACTAAAATTTATGAGCAATGCGGTATACATAGATATTGGTAAAAAATCTGTTTCCTACTGCATGTGAGTGAATAAATGGGATGAAACTTTTTCTTCAAGCTATGGGCTAGTATTCACCAAAATATGCCTTGCTAAACAAGCAAACAATGGACAAAAATGAAAACCACTTGTTACACTGCTTGATCACAGATTCTTACATTTCAAGATTCTTAACACTGGTAATCACAACATATTTCCCCCTGTAAGGTGAGGTATCACTCTAAATTAAAAAATATTCAGTGGATAAAATACAAAACATGGGATACGTATTTACACAAATGGGATACACAACATCTTACATGTATCAAATACACATCTCAAAAAAATACACAACATATAGGTACACTTCTCACCAACTCAAGGCCTTCAATGAAGGGAGTATCAGGCCAGTCCCTCTCAGGAAACCGCTGCAGTATTTTACCTCCACGAGCTCCATTTCCTGAAAAACATTAGATTCTGGGTTTCCAGTTTGAAATACAAAAATAATTAATTATTTTTAAATATTTCATTATAACAGTTCTTTGAGCATGCTCTCTAAATTTTAGAGCTCTGCCAATAGTTGCACAGTGATGGTGGAAGTCAGAAAAAGACAAGTCCAACACCCATGTGGATGGCAGTCACAATGGTGTTCAGTCTTGCGGTACTACCAGTATAGTCAAATGGGGTAAGACAGGATCGCAGCCTTCATGGGGTAAGAAAGGACCGGCCCATGGCGTGCATTCTAACTGCACTGAATTTAA